AGAATCTATATGCTGGTTGTCTGTTGGTTAACCTGCAAGTATCATCCCTACAAAACCCAAGCAAGAAGGACACCAACAATGGCACCACTACATACGTAGCAAATAAGCCGATGTGTGTGTGTGTGTCTTAGGTCAACCCCATGCATGCGGCCGCAGTGTCGCAACACTAGATGGATGAACCACCCAATTGAATTGGACTCATTTCTTTGGAAAATCAAATGGAAACGGTTGCCCCGCAGAGTTGATTAACTAGCTGTCCGGCAGTGACGGAAAGCACCCTTTGTCCTGGGCCCGGTATGGCAATGGGGCACATGGGGCACCGTGCCACTTTTTCTGGGCCCTCAATTTGACTCGTTTACTTTGCCTCAACCCTGGAGGCTAAGTCTGCAACGGGCGCAGCCTGCGGGTTTCATGGAAGCTCAATGTGTCCAGCCGTCTTAGCCGTCTTAGCCGTCTTAGCCGTCTGGGTGCCCGGTGCCCCAAACTGGGTGGCCGGCAAAGAAGCACCCGTGCTCGCCCGGAGGAAGTCATCGAAGTCTGTGTTCAAGTCCTCAGGGCGGAACCCGTTTTTGCTCGGCTGCAGCCCACGGTACGTCAGGAAAAGGGAGCAGAGCCGAGGTTGGTTCTGCATCACATTAGTCACAAGCCACCTGTGAAATGGGGCTGGCCGCATGTATTAGAAACAACCTCAATGATCTACGTTGCCTGTGGTTGCTTGGCCAAAGACCGAAGGCTACCGTTCGTTCAACCGTTTAGGGAATGCCACTCTATTCCAATCAGATTCTCAGCCGTAACCCAAGCAGCTTCCACCCTGGGATTCGGTCAGTTCCCAAGTCCTGCAGGAGCAAACCCAAACTTGACACCTATTCCATCCTATTCCTGTCCACCCGAGCCCAGGTGTCATCAAATACTTTCCTACAACCCGTTGTAGCTTCTGGCATAGGACCCAGTCGAGCTCCTTTCGGCGGGGTCATGGTTCTACAAGGAAAAGAAGAAGGCGACAGCCGCACTGTGCAAACTGACACATGACAGACAGCTGCGTGCAAGTCTGAACATAGTGTCAAAAATATGACTTTCTTTCGTGTTTGTAGCTCAATTGCTTGGCAGGAGTCCCCCTATGAGGTCTTGATCCAATCTGTCGCCGCTTTGCTCGGGACTTGAGACGCGTGGGTTGGGTCCCAGGGTTTTCGGTTCCTGGAAGAGGTTTGAAAGAGTTGTTCGCCAATCGCTTCGAGCTGGGGTCTTGATGTATTGCCACATTTTATCCCCACAACGGATGAGGATGTTACGGTTTACAAAGCGGTGCTTTGGCTTGCACCTGCAAATAATTTAGAATGCATGGAGCAAATCCTTTGGATACGCACTGAACATTCGACCCGACCGCAAACTTGAATGGAAGCAACGTGAGTGGCCATGGGGAAGAACCTCTTGAAACTCGTTTCAAAAGAGGAAACATCTTCAATGGGTCGCCAACTGTGACAAATTGCATTCGGCCCTTGACATAGACTCCGGAGGCTGTGCCGAATTTCTCTGTCGGGCGAACATGAAACCCAAGCAAGACTACCAGAAGAAATTCAACGAGCCCAACTGGCCTGAAGAGGTTTGATGTGTCTCACAGGGTTCTTTTCATGCAGGTCCCCAGCAGATTGTCCACGTCTGGTCCCAGTTACCGTCAGACGTCAGAGCCGGCCTCCCTCCCAGTCCGCATTTGGTGCCCGGCCCAGCCATTCCACATTACCCCGCAGATCAGGGCCACGCAAAGCTGCATCACTACCAGAAGGCCTGGTGCAGTGCTTCCACATTTGTGAACCACACCACCAAACTCCAATCATGGAACCCAGGATTCATAACTGGGGCGTGTCTCATTTCAGGGCATTCCTAGAGTGGTTCTCTCGAAGGGCTTGGCCCAGCCCTAGACCAACCACAGGCTCCACGTTTGATCCCTCAAAAGCTTTCATCGTTCAGCTCTGATCAGAATGCGTGTATCGTTGCACATCCTGATTATCCCTCAACTAATTGGATCTGATTTGCGTCAGCTCAGACCCGCATTCTTGTTGTGTAAAGACACTCCTGGGTCTACAGATTCAAGAGGAAGTCCACGAAAAGCTTTTTTCTTAGCGCCAAACAACTGGTTCTGACCAGTCTCCCCGCTTGAAATTTGGTGTCTGGGCAGGCGGCGATTTTGGGAACCCCCCCGCCCCCACCGGCAGCCATCACCCTTTCAAGGTGCCCTTTGCTTTGAAGATTCCACCAGCGCGTGGTTGCAACAAACTCCGAAGTCTGAAGTAAGGGGTTCTGAAGATTGGGGAATTTCATCCACTGACCTTTGCTTGCTTGCCTCGCGCAGGGTGAGCTCGCTATAATATATATATATATATATATATTTCCAGAAGATCCCCTGCACCGGAGTAAGAGTACAGCTCAAGCCCCTTCATATCGGCTGGGAAAGAAGATGAAACATTCATGACAAAGTCCAAAATGGGACACTTTCATCCCGTTTGACATACTTAAACGGGAGCGGTTGGGCAGGAACCATGGCCTTGCCATGGAACGACACTCGCGCCGTTTCACCCCACATCCTATAGATCAAGTTTGAACCCTGGCAACCCACCGGCCGAGGGCGCAGCAGCAGGGACATCGCACCTTGGCGCGATCTCTCGCTTCTCCCCCAAACCCAAGCTCCTTCGGGAAAAACCATGGGTCCCACTGGTAATATCAAAATCACATTGACAACTTTAGTTAAGCGACGCCTATGCCCAGTGATCCCTATGCTTCCCCTGATTAAACTCAACAACATGCTTGTAGAGGCGATAGCCTCTGGTCAGTTTGGAGCCGTCGACACAAGTATGGCACACTCCGATAAAAGCAAGCGAGGACAAGAGAGAAAGAGAGAGAGAAGAAAAAAGAGAGAAAGAGAAAAGAAAGAACAATTATGCGAAAGAGAGAGAAAGAGAAATAGGGAAAGAGAGAAAGAGAGAAAGAGAGAAAGAGAGAAAGAGAGAAAAAGAGTATGAGAGAAAGAAAGAAAAAGCAAAAAAAGAATGAGAGAAAAGGGAAAGCAAAGAAAATGAAAGAAAGAGAGAGCAAGCGAACAATAAGTTACTATTGACCTGTGAGATTTGGAAACTGGAAAAGACAAGGTTAGGTAAAACGAGAGAGGCTTCTCCAGTAGGAGACGCATAGTGAAGAGATAAGCCTCCATCATTACAGCGCGTGGGATTTCCACAAAGCTTTGGGGTCTAATGAAATCCCAAGGGTTTCCAGATTCTCGTCTTTATTAATTGTCCGTCCATCCCTTCCTCAGGCACGTCACGTCACGCGACAAAGAGAGAGAGAGAGAGAGAGTGAGTGAGTGAGTGAGTGAGGGAGTGAGTGAGTGAGTGCGTGGGTGAGTGAGAGAGTGAGTGAGTGAGTGAGTGAGTGAGTGAGTGAGTGAGTGAGTGAGTGAGTGAGTGAGTGAGTGAGTGAGTGAGTGAGTGAGTGAGTGAGGGAGTGAGGAGTGAGAGAGAGAGAGAGAGCGAGACAGTGCATCACTGAAAAAATGGCAGCGCACGCTAGCTTCAGGCCAAAGAGAGCAAAGAATAAGTGTCTGGGCGTCTGGGCTGTGCGATTGATGCAAAGAAGACCACACAACTCGTTTCTGAACTTCTGCTTTGGGTGGGTGAGGCATCACTCTTGAATGAGCTTCCCCGGAAGTATACAAGTCATAAAACGGCTTGGAGGTAAGACCCGCATGGACAAATAACACGGCGGCAACCGCTTCCGGCTCTTCTGGTCCTTGCTAATGTCGTCACCTCCAAAAGGAACACTATCAAAACTTGAAGTATAGTCTCTTAAAATTGCAGCGGAATAGAAAAGCCGCAAATTCCCCGCAAACAACTCAGCAACAAGGCAGATATTTTGACATTGATGAGGGGATCCCCTCATAAAGACAAGTGATGTCCACCAGAAGAAACCCTCCATATTCTGCTCCCCACGCATGCATCTGGCACGCATCTCAGCCTCCAGCGACCCTGCTCAAGTAGGCCTGCGGGATGCCCTTCACGCACCGCAACCTGGCACGAGCGGGAGAGCCTTAGCTGCCTAGGTTCTCTTTCCGTTTGAACATGGAAGTGTCCTGAATGATGGGCTTCCCTTGCTTCCCTTGAAACCCCAACGCAAAGGTAACCACCTTTCAACCACTGACCCCAACTGGTGGCGACAACTGGCTAGCCCCCAGTCTTTCCAGCTATGCACAAGCATTCCCCTGTCCGCGTTCCACCAAACCCCTGTTTGTCCCCGCTTGAAATAACAAACCCCGCGGCTGCCCAGAACATGGGACAAGTTTGGCGTGCCTCCGACAGGAGGCAAATCTTGAAACGGACAACCCTGGCTTGGATGTGCAGTAAACATGATCCTGGGCCAATCAGCACCACCCCGCCCCTTGTCACAGGAGCCTGCCCTTATCCCGTTTCGCGGTTCCTTCAGTTTGGTTGGGGAAAGGGAAACTGAGAATTTTCTTTGCGGAGAAACTGCTTTAATTTTGGGTAACATCGTTTGCCTACCTGATCCACTTGCACTTAGCCTCACTGGCACACACCAGTTGTGTGACAGGACCTAGCGCTGGTGTCAATGCCTTCTCCCCAGAACGGCAGCACTGGAAAAATAGCACCGATCATCTTTGGGCTGCCATAACAATGCCGGCAGTAATTCAAAAGAAGGAAAGGTCAACAATCAGCTTCAGCCAGCAAACTGTCCAAGTCCCAGCCCGGAGGAATGATAGGCAGCCTTTGGTTGCTTAGAAAGAGAAGGTCAATTGTGAAGTCCAGAACCGATTGATTGATTTCTCCAAGGCAGAAGTCCATAATAATATGTTTGTTGAAGTGCAAAATCTACTTTCACAAAAGGGGGATCATCTACGCTCAAACGCAACGCACCGCTTGTGGCGGGATTGCAAAAGGCAACCAGTATCCCGAACAAACAACTTGTTTCTCATGGATTCGAAATCCAGGGGGCCCTTTGCTATCCTTTCCCAACATTGGGGGGCATCCCCAAGTCTGTTGGGGCCAGGCCGTCCTTTTGTGCTTGCACTTGGTGCTTGGAAGGACTCCAATTCTTGGAAACACCCCCAATTCACCTTGCCTTGCCATGCCAACTCACAAAGGCCGGTGCCACTCGACGGGCCCGCAGGCTTGCGAGGGATCGGAAACGGCCCCCAAAGGCGCCAATCCGTGGCCCCCGGCAAGCTATCTGAGAATCTGGCCTGAGGCAGAAGCACTTGCCCAGGAATCGCCCCTTCTAGGGAACAGAGCTGTAAAGGCGACCCCCTGTGGCACTTGCCCGCAAACGACCAAGTGGGCCCCTTGGAGTGCCACTGCCTGAACTTTAAAACCAACAGCCGCGCCAATCCAATTCGTCTTGGGCCAGGCAGCAACTCGTTAAAGGGCCCTTGGTTTTCCAAGTAAGACCCTCATAAGGCTTTCTTTTGAGGGCTTAAATCAAGAATCCCATAAATGATGAACATGCTCACTGCCTTCCGCAAAAAGTACCCCTTTCCCAAGCACCGGAGCTTGCCAGTTGAAGTGGAAGTCTTGCGTGAATGGAGTGTCAAAATTTGGGCTCTTGCGGGACCTGACGCATTCAAACGGGGGTCCAAAAAAGGGCGCCCATCATCTTCCAGATCATCTGTATGCCTCCCTTTGCAGCGCAACTTAACCAACTGCAACGCATTGATGTGCGTAGCAACAGAGTCCCAAATACCGCTGTGCTAAGGGAACAGGCACTCGACCCTCCTTGACAGAAGCTGCTTGGCGAAGGACGACTGCAACTGTGGGGTCACTCGATGCTAAAACTGGCTGACACTAACAGGTCTACAGGTCACAGAGGCCAAATCCAGTCAGCGAAAACAGTAGCCCGAAGTGGCTGGCAATAGATCAAGCTGCGCGTATCGGTTGGCACCAAAAGATTGCCCACACTGATACCACAAGGACGCTGGAAGGCTATCGAAATTAGCTGGCCCTGGCGTCCTTTTGGAAACATCGATTTTGCTGGCCCTTCTGAATAGTTCAGAACCGGACCAAACTGCAACCAGGCAAATCAACCCATTTTCAAGCAAAGACTTTAAGCGGACCCCAATCACCAACCGATCCAGGATTTCTCCGAAGACACTTCCACAGAAGTTGGTTCCCGCGAACGAAATCAAAAGGACCCCACAATCACTTCCTAAGGGCCCGAATATCAAAACATGGTCCCCCAAAATTCAGATATTTTATGGACCGGATTATCAATAGCCTTGCGGCTTGGCCATCTAATGGCCAAAGCTGCAAGCCTGGCGCACCCCGGCCTTCTCCTCCACTGGCTCATCAGCCTGGCAGTCGCAAGGTCGCGGGGAGGGCAGCAACCGGTGGGGTGCTGGGGGTCCCACGACTACCACATGTTGCCTGCCAAGGGCCAAACATTGCCCAAACCTGGCACGACATGAGCCAAGTGCGGCCAACAAACGCCGAAACCTTCCCAAAGCTGAATCGCGTCACGGAATGGATCCCCTGAAAACATTTGCGCGTCAACCAGCTGCAAACTCGTAAGGTTGACGGCCTCATATGCAAAAAGGTGTCTTCATAGTTGTGCCCTCTATGAGCGCAAACCTCGCGCTCAGAATGGTAGACCCGCCATGGTCATTGCAAAGGATGCGGGACATGTGTGGAATAGCCAGTTTCAGACCCTGGAATCTCGTGAGTAGCAAAACAGGCGCAGGGCCCCCTCGATCTGTCCGGCTTAAGGAGCCAAGCCATGAAAGGCTTGCCAGCAATGACAATGCTCATTTAAAACCAAATGGCAAACACAAACATCACGTCAAGCAGTAGATTGCAGAAGTCCTCTTAAACCCGCTTTGAGAAAGTCGGGGCAGTACATCATGTCCCCTCCCTCAAGGACCTCTTGCATCTGGCTGAAGCTCATGTGCTCGTATCTCACGCCACTGCAAGTCACCAAGTTATATTGCCGGTGTCACCTTCCCTCATGCTCACTTGCTCAAGACCCAGAACTGAAAGGCGCTTACCTTGCAATCAAAAACTGGTTGCCAAAACTGGTTGAGGCCAAACCCAAACTGGCTGAACTCAAAACAAATGGCTGAAACTAGATTACTTGAACAACAAAATGAAAGTGAAAGGAGGTTTCGGCAGCTTGGCCTTAGAACTCAGGTTGTTTCCTCTCATTTGTCCATCAATCACCAACATCACACACTCGGATCACTGGATCAACCAAGAAAGACTGCTTCCTCATTGACGGTTTTTATTGACTCAATTTCAGACCTTGTCCTTGGGCCCACGCGACTTTTGCCGAATCAGGAGCCAAGCAAGAAAACAACAATCCAAAAAAAGTCAGGGTACACCCGCAATGCTCCCAAAGGTGCAATCAAAGGGGTCAAAGCAAGAGGATGGTGATCGAACAACATCCGGGTGTAACATAAGAACCTAATCCTATCATTTTGTTCAGGCCATTCCAAAACGGGAAGTCCTGGTTACAGGGCCAGCATGGTCCCCCTCCGCGCTGCCGGCTCCGCAGTGACCCTTGCCTGAGGCGCCCGATCCTTGGGCGAAGGTGCGAAGATGTCTTGCGGCGATTGTCTTCCATGTCCGTAAGCATGGACGCATAGAATGTTTGCCTGTCATGATCGGTTTGCATGTGTTGCTTTGAGGCAACAGGGCGTTGTTGTTAAAAACAAAAGAAACCAGGAAGCAACAAAAGAGCCGTGAGAAACAATGAGGCTCACAGATCGTTGTTGAAAGGCTTGTGCTGAGTTGATAGTAACATCGAGATGAGTGACAGTTGGTTGATTGTTCCATGGATGTGTTTTCCATTGATTGTTCAATGGTTGATTGTTCAACGGTTCATGAAAGCCCCTTTGACAACAGAATTGCAAGTGCCGAGGAATCGAAGGGATGTAGCCCCCGAGTTGCTGCAAGCATGGGGTACAGCATTCTCTTCGCCCATCGTTACCCAAACCCCAAAGTTTTGCAGGGAGTCAGAATGGCTGGCCCTCCCAGGCACCTTACGTTTTGACGTTGGCAACACCTGGCTCCTTGTGATTTCCTCAGGTGGAAGAACCATCTGCGCCGGCTTGGTGGAGTCCAGTGACCATAGCACTACAACAGAGGGAGGACCAACGACATTCACCAACATGAGACGGAATCGAAGAAGTTACCTACTATGAGCATGCATACTGCATACATAGCAAAGTCGTTTTCAGACCACATACCGATCCGTGTTTGTTTCATTTCAATCTACGGTCAAATTTTGAATATCTGAACGTCAGAACACGGTTGCTCTATAAGGACCCTGCAAACGGGCATGAATCGGTGCCGGTAATTTCAAGGTAACCCAAAGGACAACAAACAGCGTTCTGGTCGTTATTCTTGCGGTTTCATTTTGAGTCTCGCGGCAACACGGTCTCTGAGCATTTGCCGGAAATCCTCCGAGGGATTTAGCGTCCGCCTGGGGTCCCCGGCGTTGCCTCTGCCCGAACCTCGGGTCGCACATTCGATCTCCGGCTTGTGAGCAGAGCAAAACGTGTGTGGCTCAAAAGTAGGGAATCCAAATCAAAGGGTTTCGCTTCGAAAATTGGGGAAGGCATAGTAAGCTCAGGTGATATCCCCAACAGCATGCGCTGCTCTTTTTAGTGCTCGCGCCACCCCGCAGCCCTCGCAGAACCTCGTGGAACTTTCGTGGAACCCTGGTAAAACCCTTGGTGAAACCCTGGTGGATCCTGGTGGAACCTTACCTCAGGGCCGCCCCGGACCACCCTGGAGCCTATCTGGGCTGAGACCCCAAAGCTTTCAGCTCTTGGGAAAAAAGAAAAACGAGTGATTCCTGCAAATCTTCAGAGGTCCTGCGTAAGACTTCTTGGGAGGGTCTCTAGAAGGACCAACGCAAGGTGTCTTTGGATTCTTGCAGGATCTCCGTGCAAGATCTATTGAAACATCTCTTGGCAACATCCGCGTACACGATCTCTGGACAGGATCTTTTGGTAGGATCGAATCCTTGGGAAGGTCTGGTCGAGACCTCTTGAGAGGATCTTCCCTACAAAGGGTCAGCGCCACGTGTCTGTGGAGGATCTTTGCAGGATCTCTGCGCAAGATGTCTGAGTAGCGTCTCTGGGCAAGATGTGTGCACTGGTGTTCTATGACAGAATCATGTGTATACAACTCTGTCCAAGATCTGCAGGGCGCATCCTCTACAAGATCACTCAGGGGAGCATCTTTCCAGATCCTGCGCAAGAGCAAGGATCCGTATGAAGGACCAGAGCAAAATATCTTTGGGTGGGTGTTTACAGGATCTCTGCGCAAGATCGCTTCAGAGGACCTCTTGGCAGTCTCTATGAGCAAAATCTCAGAGTAGGATCTCTGGATAGGATATCTTGGCAAGATTTGCGCGAAAGACCCCTGAGAGGATCCTCTATATCTATATATTGAAATCCTCTGAGCATCTCGTGTCTTGTCTTCTCTTACTCTTGATCTTCCTCTTTTTCCATCTCTTCTCTTCTCTTCCTCTTTCGCTTCCTCTTCCTCTTTCTCTTCCTCTTTTTGTTTTCCTGTCTCTCTTCCCCTTGTTGTTGTCATGTTTCTTGCTCGCTCTCTCTCTCTCTCTCTCTATTTTTATCTTTTTGCTTCTCTGTCTCTTTCTCCTGCTCCTTCTCCTTCTCTTTCTCTTCTATTTTTTTCTTCTCTTGCTTTATCTGTCTCCTTCTCTTCTCTTTTCTGCCTCTTTCTTCTCTCTTGTCTGTCCCATTCCCTTTTCTTTTCTCCCGTCCTTCTTGCTTCCTTCCAGTATCTTGCTTCTTTCTTTCTTTATTTCTTTCTTCCTTCCTTCCTTCCTTTCCTTTCCTTTCCTTTCCTTTCCTTTCCTTTCCTTCCTTCCTTCCTTCCTTCCTCCCTCTTTTCTTTCTGTCTTTCCTTCTTTCTTTTCTTTCTCTCTTTCTTTCCTTCATTCCTTCCTTCCTTCCTTCCTTCCTTCGTTGCTTTCTTGCTTTCTTTCTTTCTTTCCTTCTTTCCTTCTTTATGTCTTTCTTTATTTTTCTTTCTTTCTTTATTTCTTTCTTTATTTCTTTCTTTATTTCTTTCTTTATTTCTTTCTTTATTTATTTCTTTATTTCTTTCTTTATTTATTTATTTATTTTTTCCTTTATTTCTTTCTGTTTCTTTCTTTCTTTCTTTATTTCTTTATTTCTTTCTTTCTTTTCTTTTCTTTTCTGTTCTGTTCTTTTCTTTTCTTTTATTTCTTTCTTTCTTGTTTTTTTCTTTCTTTCTTTCTCTCTGTGTGTGTCTCTCTGTCTTTCCATATGAACTGTCTATCAATCAATCAATCAATCTATCTGCGCCTGCGCTTGGCAAAGCGCTGCGCCTGCTACAACATCTGTACTTGACCTTGCAAAAGTGCTGCGCCTGCCACGCAGTTCAATCCTAGCGAAAGCGGCCATGCCATTGCACAACTTTCCAAACCGCGGCGAACCACGGCGAACCCGTGCGCTGAATAGAGGTAAGCCTTCGCGATCTTGCCAAGCCCAATATGCTGCGGCTGCCACGCATTTCCTTTCGTCTCCATCCATATTCTCTAGTTCTTGCCTACTTTCTCTCTTTCATTGCACGATTCTGCTACTTCAGCTTTTTGTACTACGGAAGCTTTTCTAGCAAGACTTCCTTTAATTCTCTATGATTATGACGGTCGAGAGTGATTGGCCTACTCCAGGATCTTGTGACTGTTTTGGGGGATCTTCAATAATAGAAAATTGCTCCGGAGATAAAGTCGGACAAAAGACAACAAGGTGAGCCTGGGAACCCAAAGGCAGGTCCACAGAGCGCCCCCTTAAGGATGGCTTCGCAGACTCGCTCGAAAACAGAGCGCCCCCTCAGCAAAAACTTGCACCAAACACTTGCCGAAGTCACATAATGTGCAGGAACTTCTCACCAAATCCCAGCGGCACGCTCCCGTCCCGGAAGCACAATCCCAACGGCACGGCCACCGTCGGGCAACGCACAGAGACTAAATCCCACCGACGACGCCGTCCTCACCCACGGGTGTGCGCCGGTCGGAAACCAAGTCCCACGGGCACGACACCCGATGAACGCTCCGCCTTTTACTTGGATCGAGTGGTTTATCCAAGTCCTTCCCAGCTCAGTGGTTAAAGTTCTTAGATCTAGGAAGTTAAATTCTGCAGGTGGTCCCCAAACCATCAAGCTTCATGTAAATTATTTACAGAAGAAACCGCAAGCCCAAACGGTCCAACAAAGCCGGGGGGGACACGGGAGCTCCTGAGCTGGATTTTTCGGGGTCCTCTTTACTGCCAAAATGTTGTTTGGGGGTTGGGGACCTTCCGAAACCACCTCAGCCTTTTTACGTTTAAAAGGTGACTCCCCCTCAGCTTTTCCTAGTACGAGGAATCTGAGATCAAGTCATGGCAATACTAAACTTCGAACTGGCAATACTAAATCAAGAATCCTTACCAGTTGGTCCCCGCGACTGCTGGCACTGTTGCAGGGGCGGGTCATATTTCAGAAGGTCCAACATGATAATTACCCAATGATCAAGACGAGCTTTGCGGATCACGTTTTAAGAAAGCGCATTCCCAACCAGTCGTGACACTTTCCCGGCTTGGCGAACCCTCGTGGATTTTGCAAACACAAAAAGGAACCTCGAACATCTGGAAAGCGAACCGCTTCGGCCCGACTTCGGAGACATCTGAAATCAGGTCACTTTTTGTTTTCCTCTTTTTTTCCGCGGGGTACAGGGGTGGGACGGAGTAACTGTCATAGCAAGGACTGAGTTCTGCTTTGTTTTGGAGGGCAGTTCAACTGAAGTTGACCAACTGGAGGGGAACACATTCACCATGCTCAGCTTGCCACTTGGGGAAGGCAGCTTTGGGGGGTTGAACTGCCATTGGGAGTCTGGCCGAATTTGGGTACGTGAAACACTACGGAGTATGTGATCCATGCTCTGGGGATCTCTGGGGATCTCTGGGGATCTCTGGGGATCTCTGGGGATCTCTGGGGATCTCTGGGCATCTCTGGGGTGCGGGCTTACAACTTCATCCATGGCTGCTTCGCAGAGTCCTCTCGCTGGCCGAGGGCCCGTGTCACTGGAGCGTTCTGCCAGAGCCAAAGCGGTGAGTGGGCCACGTTCGTCACTTCTTTTAAAGGTACACGGGGACTCGGGAAGGGAAGTGCAAATACTTTCGTGATACGACCAGAAGGGGATTCCCAAAGAACTATTTGCTCGCACTTGAAAGGGGAAGGTTCCCTATCACAGAGGTGTTTGGAACAGGCTAGATGCATAGTATCATCGTAGATTCAGAATGGCCTCTCACCAACACACATTCAGTGTGCTTGGATCCCTTTTCGATCAAACCAAAACTCCTTTTTTGTTGTTGAAAAAGCGTGGAGCAACACTGTGCTCTCATGCTTGTTTTAAGGACAATACTGGAGCGGTTGGGTGAGCCCGGTTCAGCCTTTCGAAACTATGTGACCGCCACCTATGTATCTGATTCCTTTTTGTGAGCTGATCAAGCTTGGGGTGTCCCTATCGTTGGTCTGATCAAGCTTGGGTGTCCCTATATTCTTCACACATGACTGCTGCCAGTACCTCATATTTGAGCTGGGTGGCTTTTCAAACTTCGCACATGCCAAGGAACCGTCTCCCCACGTCTGCACAAACCTGATCCGCCCCCCAGATCCAAAACAAATTCCGATTTAAGGGATATATCAACAGGACGTGTTAGAGGCTGAGATGGATGACTTGCGGGTATGATCCTTGCATCGTTTAGTAGCATGCCTCGAATGCGGTGGTCTTGACCCAGCTGCCACAGATCTTGCGACGCAATGCATGTTGAATGAACTGCGATTGCTGTCTTCGCTGGGCGTCCATCCTTCAGCAAATCCGAGTGGCCGAAGGAAATTCGGGTTGGCTGGCTGAGTTGACCGTCCACAGGAAATGAGTTCCGCTTTCTCGGGGTGAGGCCAAAGGTGGACAGTAGCTTGCTGGAAGTGACACATCGAACTCTCCGGAGCGCAGCTCATGTCCAGCTCTCGAGATGAGTCGAAGATGGGGACCGGACATGAGCATTGAGTGTCCCCAGTGTAGAGCCCTGTTCCCTAACATTGGTTTGTGTGGTTTACACAAATTACAGGCTTGGAGCGGGCCCCTAGGCGCACGCAGCTCTTGCCCTTGATCAAAGTGCCCAAGCGCCGCCAGCCCACTCCCCCTGCCAGCCTTAGGATCTCCATGAGGCAGCTCCTACCAAGGTGCCAGCTGAATGAGATTGAATGAGTCTTCCCCAAAATGCCAGGGGAAAAAATCCAGTGCTGGTCGCCCAAGTAGATTGGCCCTACCGAATCAAAGCACAGCGCCGGACCATGTGTGAAGGTCATAGCCGTCGATAGTCAGTGATTCAACCGGGACAGGCATAATATGTGCGCCCTGTGCATCGCATGCATCGCTTGCAGTGTGTGAGTTTGTGTGCTGCCTGTCTGTCGTGCATCTACGTCATGAGTCGTGTGTGTGCCATGCGCACCCTTCCAAATGATGGGTTGTATGTTGGTTGGAAGGGAAACATGTGCAATCTCTACGCCCTCCTGTCAGCCGAGCATGCTTTTGCAGGGCTACCTTCATAGTTCCTAGACATTTAGACATGACTGGGCAATGAATGGTGGCTGGGCCAACCTTGTGTGGCTTGGTTTGTCTATAGCCAAACGGGCATGACACGTGCCACGAGCAACTTGCGGATCTACAGCCGATTTGGATGCCGGATACAACTACAAAGCCTACTTGCCCTCCAAAACCAACAGGAAAACATAAACCAACACCTTGTATCGAGGTCCCTTACTTCGCATTTGCAATATTGTAAGTTGTGCGGTATCCGTGTTGTGGTGCTCGTTCAAACCATCCAAAAGAGGGTCCCCGCTGTTAGAAACACCCAGCTTCAACCATGCAAACTGGCGCTCACATGCAAATCAGCTGTCAAGTTAAGACTTCAGTTAAGATCAATAGGCAGGTCTCAAACGGGAAGAAAGTCCAACCAAGGAAACTGAGCATCAGCCGTCGCAATTTGACTCTGGACGGGCAAAGGGGCGCCATGGCACCACAAGCAGCTAGAAGCGCGGAATGCCAAGCAGGATTGCGAACCCCTTCAAACCCCAGCCCAGGATTCCAAGGATCCCTCTCTTTGGTAACACCGCCAATGCTCATCTGGAAGAGCAAGAGAGAGCGAGGCAAACAGAGAAAGTGAAAGAGACAGAGAGAAAGAGAGAGAGAGGGAGAGAGACAAAGAAAGAGAGAGAGGGAGAGAGGGAGAGAAAGAAAGATTGAAAGAAAGAATTCCAGAAATAAATAAATAAATGGCCACATGAAGTGCAGAAAAACAAATGCATGATGTGTACCAGTACTGTCATGGCCTCAGCAAAGGAACCGTGATGTTGCTCCTAATGGATGCCTGAGGCAGACTACGTCCTTTGTTAATGCGTGCGAGGGCAAGAAGAAACATATTGTGAGCGAAAGACTGTGGCCGCCGCACATATCGTGCAGTGTTGCTTGCCGTTGGAATGCCTGTTTTCCTCGATAAAAGTGACCAATGGAACAACGGAGAGATCCTCTACATTTGCAAGAGGTCTCACTTTGCCCCCTCCCAGCAAATCCGAGATCACATCGTCTCCTGCCGGGTGGACTGGTTGCCACGCCATGAATGGGATGGTTCGCGGGCCCTTGTTCCTGCAAAAGGGGCTGGGATGAACCAACTGTGGTGTTTGAACGAAGGAAACCCAGAAAATCGGCCTCCAAGTTGGTTCAGCTTCATGAAAAACAATATTAACACCTGGCAGGTCCAATTCAGGTGAAGCCGAGTTGCGAAATGGACGACACCAGTCCTGTCATGAACCCTGACAGCAGCAGCCAGGGGCCGTTGAAGCGAAAACAATCCAGGGAGGGGGCCTGCCTGTCAACCGGCAGGCCAACTCACGACAAGGGACCCATCAATATGAGTAGAGAAACACACAAACAAACAAACAAACAAACACACTCACTCAGCACTTGCTCACATACACACTCGCCTCACCTCACTTCACTTCACCTCACTCTCTCACACACATCCCACGCCACACGGCCAAAACGCGCCCAAAATGATGACAACAAGTTGGATGTGTTCGCTAACTAAATCTAACTAATCTATCACAACGCGAGTCGCTGGGCTCCAAGCTGATCTAAGAGGCACGGCCGCGTTTTTTTTAGTCAATCCGTGGCGTTGTATCAAGCAATTGCCATGCCAAAAACATCAAGAGTGCCTTCAGCCTCGGAAAAGGTGATTTCGCGCCGGTGCTGCTCTTGCTTTGTGGTTGTCAACGCTTGTGAGTTGCCAGCGAAACAAATGTGTGGCATTTTCTGCAGGTTTCTCATGGCCGCTCTGAAACTGATGGGGGCAAGAGTCAAATTAACGGAGCCCCAGGATGGATGCCATGCAATTGTTGAGCCGAAGACATTTGTGAGAAATCCCAGCTGCACGCAGCTCACTTCTTGATGGCCTCACATTGCGCGGGACTGGAGCCAGGGATCCCTTCATTGCCAGTGTGCAGTTCCAGTTGAAACCACTGGAGCAAATTGCAGATTGCATCGTGCAAATGAAAAGAAACATCATCATGAGCTTCTTTCAAGAACCCTGTTAGCATACATGTGCAGGCCAGGGAGTGTGAAACCATCAAATTGAAAAGCACTGTGGCGTGCATGCTTACTAGGTGAAGACACGCACACACAACACACACACAACACACACACACAACCCACACACTTAGACTCCAGATGGAGGGATCTAATCTTTCGAGTACAACTGGTAAGTCTCGGCTTGGATAAGGCTCTGCATGAATAAGTTCCGGCTCGCAATGCACTCGGTTTCCCTCTAGTGTCGAAAACGTTACAAGGTTCAACATGAAGCACACACAGCGAGAGAAACAACGGGCCAAAACGACTTTGCACAACCGTTGCAGGTACACAGCTGGACGTCTCCAACTGCTTCACCAGGGTCACGAGATTGTCTTCGTTGGTGGCAGACTCTCGGCCCTGCTGCCACCCCCTGCTGTCGTGAAAAAAAGGGATTGTATGGTGGCAGGGTATTCTGCCACTCCGCACACACACACGCCCCTCAAAGACGGGCGAGAAACACTTTTTCGGGGGGGGCGAAGAAGCGCCCGAAAGACGGACCAAGACCCCAACAGAAAACAAACGGAGCAAGCACCCAAAAGAAACAGAAAGCCCCACGTTGGGTCTCCGCGGGCAAAACCCCAACCAAGAAACACGAAAAACAGGGGAACCCGAGTTTTAGGGTCACCGCCGAGGGCAAAAACCCAAAACAGCCCAGAAACCCTCCTAAACCTGGAAGACGACCACCACCGCAAAGTTGAAGACCGAGAAGAGGACCAGGCCATCCCTAAACGGGTGAAGAGGAAGAACAGGAAGTAGTTGGAAAAAGGGGGGGGGGAGGGGGAGGAAACGAAAGAAAGGAAGAGAGAGAGAGAGAGAGAGAGAAAGAAAGAAAGAAAGAAAGAAAGAAAGAAAGAAAGAAAGAAAGAAAGAAACAAAGAAAGAAAGAAAGAAAGAAGGAAAGAAAGAAAGAAAGAAAGAAAGAAAGAAAGAAAGAAAGTGTGCGTATTTAAGGCGACGCATCCCGCCCAGAGAAACACGAGGACAAAGCCAATGCGCGAGGAAGAGGGCGTCGAATCCCGCAGAGGGGCCATGACATGAGGAAGAGCACGATGAAGCAACGGTAGGGGACGAAGACGGCAAGCCAAACAGCGCGAGGGGACCGAGGACCGCGAACAAATAGGCAAACAAGAAGAGGACGACGACGAAAAAGGCAAACAACGCGGCAGAGAAGAAGCCATCCCTAAACGGGCCAAGAGGAAGAACAGCAACACGCGGAAGACGGAAGGCCGGAAGAAGGAACGGGAGGAAGGAGAAGCCATCCCTAAACGGGCGAAGAGCAAGACGACGGACACGCGGACGACGAAGGCGAGGAGGGAGGGTGAAACATATCTATGAAGAGGTGGCTGTCTTCC